GGACAATGTTTTGAATGTACCAGTATAGGCATATATTCGATAGTTTGTTTCTAAAACAATAAACCCATCTTGAGTTCCTGCCCCCGTTCCAGTCGCCGTTGGCAGCGGGGGAGACGACGACGTCAGTGTAGTAGACAACCGTGTCGGACAAAATCGTTTGGATGATGGCTAGATGACAATCAATTTCCATGATCTTGCTATGAATGAAACAATTACCCTTCGCTGCCATATGAGCCCGTAGTCACGCAAATCTTCTAACATTGCGTTTTGACTGATGCCTAGTCTTTCTGTAGAGTACTCCTAGCTCACTAGGAATCAAAAGACGTAAATGACATCACTTGACCAAACTGACCCTCCCAAGCTGCATTGTAGACAGCATGAATAGGAAATTTAGAACTTCGACAAGATCCATTTGTCGTTGCTGAAAATTGTGATAGTCAGAACGCAAACCAATCGCCAAGTGGTGGAAAACCTCAGCCATGTCCAGATATTGGAGTAAGAGGGCCCAGAGCTGGTCGTGTGGAGAGTGAAGGAGGAACTGGAAGCCAATGGACGTAATTTGCAGGGGTGATCCGCTAGAAGGGTGTTGGAAGAGGGCCAGAATGTTGGAAAGCGGACTAACCGATGGCTAACCATCAGTCCACTTCTCTGAAGCAGATATAGAACACCTGTAGACGGCTTGGGTGGGTTCTGTCCTGTTCCGGATGACACCATGTAATGGAGGATCGTCTAGGTTGCATGTAGGCCGATATTGGTAGACTGGTCCGAGATAGTAAGACTCACCTCCCACCTTTCTAAAGCATACCCATCCAGTCCTTCTACATCAAGTGGCGTGCGTTTGTCGTCTGGCTCTGCAGGAACTCCGAAGCTTCCGCTTGTACCGCTATATCTGCCTGAGCAATTCTCGTTTTCACAAATACCGCCTTAGACCTCACCTTCCTGTGATTGCTTGCCGAAAACTTGTCTTGAATGTCGGATTCAGTGCAAGTTTGACTAAAGAACTCGGAACTATATGCAGTTGGTGAAGATTGCTGAGTGAATCGTCGTACAACCTGATTAACAGGATTATGAGGTCGTCCGGCGCGAACACCATAGAAGCACACATCTAACGCAACTGTTTTCCTTCCCGAACTACCCATGCTGCCATTGTTGAAGCGGGTATGGCAGACTCAAGCCAAAGCAAGTTCATCACAATTTGTCTTTCGAGGGGCGCCAGAAGACGGTAGATAGCGAGACATGAAGAAGGAAATTGGTAGAGGCGCGTGAGTGTATTTTGAGATTGCAGCTGCAGAAACGGTACAAGAGGGTGCGAAGCCGACGTTTTGGTATCTGTTTCATGTTCCCCACGGTGGGTGGACATGGTAGCTGGTG